GGGTGGGGGAGGGGGGGAGAAAGAAATAATCTTTCATCCCTTTAAACACTAACACTAAAACAAAGCCAAACAAAACAAAACTTTCTAGTCATTTCAAAAGTTTATGGTCATTTCTAGGTTTATGGTGTTGCCCTGTGGCCATCAGATAAAGCCTTTGTTGGGAGACAGCACTGTACCATAGTTAAGAGCACAGGTTTTAGTGTTGCATTAAGACATATTCCATCTTCTGTAACACAAGGCAATCAAAATCTCCTATAGTAGGAACTGTGTTCTAAAGACTGATAAGTCTGAATCACTTTCATTTAATGAAGGTTCCAGATTCCACAGAGAGTTTCATTTTGTGACTTAGGCAGAGATAAGAAACCAATCTTAGGCCCCTTCAGTTTTTGTTTTTTTTTCTGAACATCTTGTAGCCAAGCATATGAGTCACTTAGAAGCTTAGTGGGGCAGGTTTCTTCATGGAAGCTTAAATCTCTTTTCAGTTGCTCTGGCCTCCATCACATTTTGATCTGATCTTTTAAATGTGATTGATTATGGCTGTACTCAAATCTATATCTGTCTAAAACTAATTGACCAGTCTTTCAGAGAAACTAAGCAGAGTTGAAGTTTCTTAGGGGTAGACAAGCTTATTGGCAGATTGACAGTGGCCTTGTCTCAAACGTTTTTATTATGCTTGTCAACTAAAGTTGTGATTATTGATCTTTGTGTTGCTTTTTAGCATGATCATCTGAAGCATAACCACAGCGTCCTTTTAATCTAGACCTTGGCGATTGTATGGTTAAAGGAAGGGCTAGCATCAGTGACTGAATGCTTGATGCTCAATCTCTTTTTCGTCCACATCTATGTTAGGAGTATTTCCTGTCTCTCATGAAACTACAAACACCTGGAGAGCAAGTGCTGTGTCCAACAATTCCTCGGAAACCAGCTCATCTCTTTTTCCCTCCCCTGTAAAGCATGGTATAGTATTTGTACATAGTGCTACTCAGCTGTTTAATTGAACATTTTTCTAGCTATATACCTGTGTTCAGTGTCAAGGGTGCAAATGGATTTTGAGAATCCAGAAGCTTGTACAAGTTCAAGAAACCTCTTTTAAAAAACTGTAAATATGAAGTTGGATATAAAAGTACTTCCTTTGAATGAGAACAGAAATCACAGCATAATACGAATTTACAAAGTTTGAGTCCTCTTGGACTTCAAGCAGTAGGAGGCAAAAAGTGTTTCCCGTCATAATTGTACTATAAATTTCAGGAAGTCAAAAAAAAAAAAAAACCCAATTGAAATTTTTTTTCTTGCCTCTCTAAAAAATCCCCCGCCATTTGGGGGACCGCATACTCATCAATTTCTTCTTAGGAGAAGCTTTTACATTTTTAACAAACTTTTTTTTTTTCTGTCTTTTTGAGACAGGGTCTCCCTGTAGCCCCAGCTGTCCTGGAAATCACTGTGTAGACCAGGCTGGCCTCTAACTTACAAAGATCCACCTACCCCTGCCTCCCAAGTGCTGAGATCAAAGGCTTGTGCCACCATGCCCGGCCAAACTTTACATTTTTTAAGAACTGTTTTCAATTCATTAAAAAAAAATGTAAGCATTCTCATAAATTCTTCATCCAGTTTCCTCTATGATTAACATCTTACAGTAGTATGGTACATTTATTACAATTAGGAAGCCAGTATCAATACAGCATTATAACTAGTAGCTATCCACTATTCAAATTTCCCTAATTTTTACTTATATCCTTTTTCTGTTCCAGGATACCAACCAAGGCTCCTGGCTATGGACGTTTCTCATTATTTTTCTTGCTTTTTAGGATCT